GATGGGATGAATTGGTACAGTGACTGGGGCAATGGAGGTAGGTGTGTGACTGGGAGTCTTTGAGACTGGCTCAGGACCTGGAAGGCTTCAGAGCTGTTGTACATAGGGTTGCTATGAGTCTCAAGCAACTCGACGACACGTAACAATAGCTAAAGGTCCCGAGCATTTCTTCATGTGCTTGTTGGCCATCTGAATGTCTTCTTTCATGAAGCGTCTGTTCCTGTCCTGGACCTATTTTATAACAGGTTTGTCATTTTCATTGTTGTTGAGGTGTTCTATATATTTCAGAAAATGAGTTTTCAGTCAGATATGCTATCACTAATATTTTTCCCCAATTTGTAAGTTCCCCCTTTACTCTTCTAGAGAAGTGTTCTGAGACACGTGATGATCGAACTTTTAGGAAGTCTCTCAATGATCTAGTTTATCTTCCGCTAAGCAAGGGAACACTGCATGGTTCAAAATTGGGAAGGGCGTACGCCAGGGATGCATCCTATCTCCATACCTTTTCAACCTATATGCAGAACAGATTATTCGGGAGGCGGGGCTCTACGAGGAGAAATGTGGGGTCAAGATTGGTGGACGATTTATCAACAATCTGCGTTATGTGGATGACACAACCCTGCTTACTGGAACTGAAGAGCTGAAGCGCCTGCTGCAGAGTGTCAAGGACTGCAGCCTACAATATGGATTGAGGCTCAGTGTCAAGAAGACAAAGATTCTCACCACTGGACCAACTGGTAGCATCAGGATGGATGGTGAAGAGATTGAGATTGTACACAGCTTTAGTTTGCTTGGCTCCACAGTCAACAGTCTTGGCACCAGTAGCCAGGAAATTAAAAGGCGCATTGCCATGGGAAAGTCTGCTGTTAGGGACCTCTCCAAAGTACTGAAGAGCAATGGTGTCTCTCTGGAGACTAAGGTGCGTCTGATACAGGCCATGGTCTTCACAATCACTTGTTATGCATCAGAGAGTTGGACAATGACCAAGGAGGATAGAAGGAGAATTGATGCCTTTGAGCTGTGGTGCTGGAGAAGAGTATTGAGAATACCATGGACTGCTAGGAAAACAGATTCGTCCTGGAAAGGGTTAAACCGGGTGGCTCCTTGGAGGCAAGGATTCTGAGGCTCCGTCTAACATACTTTGGACATGTTGTGAGGAGAGACTGGTCCTTAGAGAGGGACATCATGCTTGGGAAGGTGGAGGGACAGCGCAGGAGAGGAAGGCCCTCTATGAGGTGGATTGATTCAGTGACTGGGATAATTGGGATGGGAGTGTCAGAGACAGTGCGATTGGCACAGGACAGAGCGGAGTTTAGGGCTGTTGTACATAGGGTCGCTATGAGTTGCAAGCGACTCGACGGCACATAACAACAACAAGGACACATTAATTATATCTGATCATTTAAGTTGAAGCTTAAATTTGCACTTATTTTTCCTTTGGTTATTTTTATAATTTCAGGTTTTATGCCAAGGACCTGGATCCATTTCGAGTTAGGTTTTGTATATGGTCACTTATCACAACTTCTAGGTTTATTTGCATGTTTATTTACATGCCAGATTCCCTGCTGAGAGGAAATATTTGTCAGGACAGGAACTATATCCATCTTGTTTGGTGTGGCATCTGGCATTTACAGGCTGTGGCTCCTGCATCAGGGCCGGTCCTGGACACGTATGACAGGGAGGTGGTGTGGAAGAAAGGCCTCAGCCCCAGATTGTGAGAAATGGGCCAGGTCAGGAGATGGTGATGGGGTTTTCTGTGCGTGTGCGTGCACATACACATGTGTGCGTGTAATACATGAAAGCTGGGCTCTGGCTTCATGCAGTGGTTTGATTTTCTAATAAGAGTGAAACAGTCTTTGTGTAACTGGAAATATACTGAGCAATCATGTTCAAATAAACTATGATCCGGATCAGAGGAGACAGAGCAAGTGGACAATTACGAGTCACATGCACAAAGAACAAGGACACACCAGGACACGCCTCTGACCCAGAGCAGGTTTGAGTCTTCACTTTATTACTATGTCACCAGAAGTCACCACCTTCACTTGGTTCATCACAAATGGACAGGTGTCATGGACAAGGGTGCCATGGGGCCACTGGACTCACTCTTGAGAGACTGCACTAGGTGGTGGGGAGTCGAGAGTAGGAGCCGGAGGTGGGATCGCCCTTCACCGCACACACGCGCGCACACACAGTTATTTGTGGAGCCTTATATTATACATCTTATATATAGAAAATATATATATTTATACTATACACAGGCAGTAACGCTGCGGGAGGGGCTGGGGTTCCCAGACAAGGGCTGTGGGCATCTAGGGGTGGGTGTGTCACGTCTGAGGCAGCACTGAGGGGTGGATAAACAAGCCCATCCTCCCATAACTTCTGGGAGGGATGTCCCCCCTTTATGCTCCTTGGAGCATAAAGAGCAAAGGGGTCTTGGGCTAATGTTGGGAGGGTCCCCAAGGGTAACAACTGGGGAGGGCTCTTGGCTACAGTGGGGGTTGCCTGGGGTCCCCAAGTCTCAAAGACCACCAGGCAAGAATGGAGAGGGCAACAAATACTGGGAATCAGCCCCTCAGTGGTGACACCCCCACCCAGAACTAGACGGAGTCCACACAACAAGGAGGCCTGTGATTATGTAAGAGTCAACTCAGAAGACAGGAGACCTGGCTCTGGGCCCCCAGCTCTGTAGCTGGGACAAGTTACTGTCCCCTGCCCCAGACTCCACCATTCAAGGGCCCTTGTGTAAAACCCAGGTGTCCTCTCTTGTGCGTGGGGGTAGGGACAGGAAGGGACTGGAACTCCGCAGGTCCAGGGGGGCCTGCTCCCAGGAAAAGCTCAGGAGGACAGGCAGAGGACGCAGAAGGGAAGAGGAGGTGCCTCCCAGCAGGGGAGTCAGGAGCCCTGGGCCCTGTTCAAACCCTCACTTGCTATGTGCCCTCAGCACGCCTCCTGCCCTGTTTTCATCTCCTCCATGAAGCTGGGCTCTGCCAGTGTCCAATGGGCATCACGTCTGGAGATGGTATCTGGGCTGTACCTCTGGAAGAGGGGGTACCTAGTGAGATGGTCTGGCCATCCCCCACTCCTGGGAAGAGGGTCTGGAATAAACAGGCTAAGTGAAGGTGACCGGGCACCCTACTCTCTGGTCCGGTATCAGTGCCCCTTTACACCATTACCCTCGTGTGCAGAGAAGGCATGGGGGCATGAGGGGGTTCACACACAGCGGGCTGAGGCCCTGGGAGCAGCAGGTGGGCAGCACCCTGGGGTCTCCTTGTGCCCATGGGCAGGAGGAGTTTACCATGGAGAGTAAGCAGGGAGGGCCTGCATGGCCTCCTGCAGGGGGCACAACCTCACGCCCCACAAACACCCACACAGGCTTCAGAAACCCCAGTCTGGGCCTCTCCTCCAAATTGCCTTTTAAGGAGGAAGGTCTGTCACTTGGGGGATGTTTACTTTCTAATAAATCTATCTTTACTACTTCACCCTAAAACACACACACACACACACACACACACCCTTGGTCTGCGTCCACCAGAGGACAAGAATCACAGGTAGAACCCCTCCCCGACCTTAGAGATGACAGTCACTCTCCCTCTGATGTCCTGTCCCTGTTGCCCGAGCCTTGAACAGGCCTGAGTTCAGACTCGGGCCCCCTAAGCTAACTTATTCCCACTGTGAGCTTTGGGTTCCCCTCCTGTGAAAGGAAGAGTTGTCCAGGGCAACTTCTCAGCCTCTGATATCCCTTCTCCCTCCCTCACTGCCACCTGTCCCTTGGGCCTGTCCTCTTGGGACCTCCCAGCTCCTGCTGTGTCTGTAGCCGGCATACATCCTGCAATGGCCTCTTCCTGTGGTTTTGGACCTTGTGCTCTGTATGGGGTGGGGCCATGTCCAGCACCCTGGAACTGTCTACTGCTTGAATGGGTGAGAGGGCAAGTCCCACCTCTTAGGGACCCTCAGAAGGGAAAGCAGGATGATGGGGGTGGACCCCCACCACCAAGCAGGCCCACAGTCCCTGCGCTCCACACAGGGCCTCCCTCAGCTGCCGAGGGCTCCGAAGCCAGGTGTGGGCGCTCCTTCACACCTGTCCAGGTCTCTCTGCACCCTCGGGGCCATCTGCTCCCTTCTTCCCACAGTCACGGTCTCCCTGAGCCCATGGGCACCGGGGCCCCCACCTCATCAGCCACAGCTGCAGCTTGCACGTGGAGATGTGATGTCCCAAGCCAGCCTGGCTGTCCAGTGGGCTCTACCAGCAGCCAGGCCCCTGTGATCTCTATCTGGAAGGCTTGGGAAGGCTCCTCGGTGCCTTTGGCTTGCTCAGCCCCCAACATTCTAGCTGATTTCCAGACAAAGGAGGTGATAGTGTCCCAGATCAGGTCGCTTCCTGGGAGGTCACAAGGTGAAGCACCTGCAGAAGCCCGGAGCATAGTCACCCCGCCCACACTGCTAGTCCTTCACCGGCCACACGGGGGCGCCTCTGAGCTCTCGGAACGAGCGCTCCAGGGACCCGCAGCCCCAGCGCGCAGAGGGGCCTCCCAGCTCCGGGGGGAGACAGCCCTGCCCTGTACAGTCTGGGTGTCTCACAGGCCCCCAGACGATGGCAATCCCAGGCCCCGGCCCGGGTGGGCACAGGTGGGGGGACAGGGAGAGGGGGCGCTCTGCAGGTTCGGTCCCCACCCTCACCTGAGTGACCTTGACCTCCCTGGGCACTCGCATCTGTCCTGGGACCCTCCTCCTATCCCCGCGTCTGCTGTCCCATCACGCCCTGTCTGTCTGGGACCACCTCCTCCATCACCTGTGCCAAGCACCGACCTGGCACTCACGTCCTCACACCCGAATGCTGGTGCCCCAGCCCCCACACTCTGGAGCCCCAGGGTGCGCGCCCTGGCACGTGCAGGCTGACACACCCCGCCCCCCCAATGCCTTGCTACTCCCACCCCACCCTGAGCCCCCTGGGACTCAGCGGGGCAATGGAGGCTGGGAGGGAGCAGGGGGTGGGCGCAGAGGGAGGGGACAGAGTGGGGAGGGGAGGGGAGGCAGGGGCTCACGGCGGCTCAGTAGCCCTGGGACTGGTAGCCCTGGGGCTCAGCATCAAAGGCGTTGGCTGGCTGCTGGTAGGTGCCACCCATGCCGGTGGGGTCCGGCCCGGCGCTAGGCTCCACATAAGGGGCGTAAGGCATGCTGGAGTCCTGGCTGGGGTCCATGTAGTCCTGGGAGAAGAGGGCCGAGTCGGCGCCAATCTGGTACCGCTGGAAGGCCAGCACCGCCTGGCCCGCCTGGGGAGGGGCCGGCGGGGAGGAGGACGGGAGGGGAAGGGTGGTTAGGGGAGAGACAGACAAGAGCACTGGGTTAGTGGCTGTTAGTTCACAGGACGCAGGCAACACAGGGTTAAAGATCTCAACGCACCAGAGGAAACCAAGCTGGACCACCACGGGCAAGGCTCCAGGACAACATCCAGCCAGAAGGAACCCCACTCAGCAGCCATTCCCGCACGTCCCCTAATCCCACATGATGCTCTGGACCACCAAAAATTCTAGGCCCGCCACTGTGGAGTGGAAAATGGTCCAAAGGCCGGCAGCATCCTTCTCAAACTATGCCCTCCCTCAGGGGTGCTGGGTGGAAGAGGAACTAAGGTGATGTTAGTATCTCCTGACAGCCATCTCTTGCAGCTAGGGAGGGGCAGGTGACTCAGTTCTGGCCAATGGGATGCCTTATTTTTCTCCTTGAATTTGATGTCTAGAATGCAGGAGCTGAGGCTCAGACAGTCCCAAGGATGAGGCCTGGGAATCTGGGACTTCTGGAGACGCTAGCCAGCCCTGGGGTCACCACTATTTGAGAGTTCCATCACCTGTGACTCAATCTGATTATAATGGAAGCATTTAGTCAAAAAGCTGGGGAAGCTGAGTTACATAGAATGGGCTCCATCTGAGCCTTGATGACTCAGTGTACGGTCGGAATGCCCAAGGGGAGAACTTCCGCAAGAAACATCTGCCAAAATTCTCCAACCACAGATGCCCTTTTAACCAGAAACCAATTTGGGAAAGATCTGTCTCTAAAAACAAACTGAAAAACTAACTCATTGCTATTGAGTTGAAACCGACTTCTTAAGATGAACCTTCAGCAAGTTTTCAGAGGCTGTACTGCACAGCAGGATACTATACTGTCCATCTTCCTCTCAAGGAGGAGCTGGTAGATTTGAACCGCCTGCCTTTGGGTTGGCAACGCAACTGCCTACCCACTAGGAAACTAGAGCTACCAAGTAAGAAACTATTTTCTGATAAGAGCAATTGTATTGTTTTAAAGGACAACGGCACTGAACACACTGAGTTAGGGAGTAAATCACTGGTCAATAAAATCACTACCAAAGCACAGGTACAGCACAGGGATCCTACCCGGCTCGCTGTCAGACTACGGCAATAAAACGTGCTGTGTGAATGTTTGGGTTTTCAGTGCAAATCAGTTATGCTTGCACCATACTGTCTGTGGTCTATTAAGTGTGTCACGGCACTGTGAGAAACGGAAATATTCTGAGAATTAGCAAATGTGGCACAGGGACACAGAGCGAGCATGAGTTACTGAAACAAACAAACATACAAACAAAAAAAAAAGCCAGAGCTGACATACTTGGAGGACACACACACACCTTCAACCTGTAAAACATGCAATGGGCACAAAGCATAACAAAGGGAGATGCATCAAAAGAAGGAAAGCTTGTAGTGTGTGGGTTCATGGCCTCATTTCCCAAGGGAGTGTCCCAGCTCAGAGAGACCTGCTTGTGATGGAAACATCTATTCACCTGTGTTTTGGGGCTGGGGAGACGGAACCTTAGAGAAGGGTGGGGGCCCACTGCAAGAGCCCAGGTCAGACTGCGGGGGTCCTGACTTCCTGGCCAGGACTCTCCTCGTCTCCCTCTCCTAAAGGGACACTTGGTAAGCATCAAGGAAGACTGTGTGCTTGCCACTTTCTTCCAGAAAGTTCTGGAAGCTCAGAGACTAGTCTTCAGTTGGTGATTTGTGCTGATTTTAGAAATCTCTGAGGGGCAGCCTTTCCTGGGAGGAGGCTATTTCAAGTCCAGTGCTGGGCCTGGGAAGCCAGAGCCTTGAGAATCAGGGAGGTGGTGAGCTCTCCCCCTACCCTGGGCTGAGCCAGGCCTCAGACCCCCTGGGCCGCTGCAGAGCCCACAAGACTGGAGGTCGGCGGACTCAGTTGTTTCAGAGCTTCCTGCGGGAGGCAGGCTGGTGGGTAGCTGAGCTCTGTGGACGCTTCCAAGGAAAGGCTTCTGGCTACAGACATCTAGCGCTGTCCCTGTGGTCACTATTCTGTCCCCACTAAGTTAAGGTCTATGTTGGCCAAATAGCTCAAGGCGCCATCAGTTAGGAGCAAAATGAAATAGGTTCCTGCAGAACTGGGGTGCTAGGGGAGGCCCCGGTCCTGCTTCCCTCAGAGCAGATACACCCTTCAGTATCATCATGGGGCCACAAGCAGTGGTGTTCAGCTCCTAGTGAAGCTGAGGGGTGGCTTTGGGGGGCTATTTCTACTTCTGCAGCGTAGAGGAAGGGACAGGCTCAGGCAGCTGAGGGCCCAAGGGAAGCAGTGCAGAAATGAGGGCTGAAGACCCCTCCCTGAGAGACGAGGATTTCCAGGGTGAGAATCACCCCAAAAGTAGAACTTAGGGAGATGCTCCTGACTTCCTGGAGTGAAGCAATAAATGAAAGAATGAACAAACAAAGAGCTTACATTTATTGAGCAAACCTGTGCCAAGCTCTGGGGTCTGGTTTCATCCTCACCATCTGACCCTCTACAGGACATGGACTGAGACCCTGAGACGTGTAGGAGTTTCCCTGGGGCCACAGAACATGAGAATGGAGCAGGACCAGGGCCCTCTGATGTCCTGGGCCAGGCGTTCACAGGGACAATGAAGACAATTTTTCACACCACCGTAAAGGGACAGTGGTCACACAGTGTCAATAGCTCAGCACCATGGACCTTGGTGGCCCCGGGAGCTCGTGCCACTTCGCCCCCACGCTGTGCCGGGGCCCCTGTCTGATTCACCACTAGGCACAGCTGCTGCTCAAGAAATGTTTACTGAATGAATGAATGAACGCGTGGGGAACACACAAAGGCAATGAATGAACGAGTGGTCAGCGTGAGCCAACTCCTCGGGCCAGCCCTCCAGCCCTGGGGTGCCGGCCACTGGCTCTCTGGGGTAAATCACTCCAGGCACTAGGCTGTCCCCCAGCAATGTAGCCACCGGCGTGAGGCAGGGCTGCCCGCAAAAGCCGGAGCTATGGCTGTGCTGAGGCAGGGAACAGTGTGTTGTATTCCTCCTGGAAGGTAAGGTCCTTGAATCTCCGCACGGCCAGGGCTGCGGTCAGGCTCTGCCAGGAGAGAGCAGGGGTGAGGGCAGCAGAGGAGGAGGGGGGCGCCAGCGAGTCTGGACTCACGGCAGGGCAGGTGCCTGTCAGTCAAGGCCCAGCAGATCCACCCCCAGAAATGCTGGTGTCCAGTCACCCACCAGCCTCCGTGAGCCAGCCCCGCCCCTTCTCAGGGCTTGCGGGCTGGGTGGTCCCCACTCCAGGGACTCCCTTTTGACTGGGGTCTCCTGGGTCTCATCCCCCAGGCCTGTGCGCACAGTGACCTCCAGGACCTGAACCACAGGGCCACGCCTCACCCCTGCCCCTCACCCCACTACGCTCTAGCTCCTAGGATGACACTGGTGGTGAGTGGAGGACAGTGGATAGCTAGGGACCCTCAAAGAGAAAGTGGTCACCCCGGGGTGGTCCAGGAGGGTGTGGAGCAGGGAGTGTTGGCTGTGGCGTGGCTTTTGCAGTGGGCCGGATGCAGATCAGAGGGGTGGGGAGCCTTCAGAATGGGGCAACTCCAGCTCTCTGCAGGGGGCAGTCAGGCCAGCAGAAGGACACTGAGATGGCCACAGTCAATGAGAGGAGGGACCACGGGAGTCCGAGCCTGCAAGGGTGGCCTCTGGCCAGTCAGACCCAGGGACCACCTTCTCTGACCCACACACAATTACTACTTTGTAACATGAATAAACTGGTAACACAAAATGGTCAGATTTCACAAACAATTCTGATTTCTGGCACTCGGCGCTGTGATTCCTCATTCTTGGGGCACCACGAGCTGACAAGGGGGTGGCCTCTTTAAAGGGGATATTCCATGCTACTGGCCTGTGTCAACCATCCTCAGGTCCACATGGCCTTGCGGTCATCAGAGTTTGTGACTCTCCTACAACACCCCCAAATCTAATCCCCCTCCATTCCTAGCAGAGAAGTCTGGATGTGGCCCCTTGACTGCAGGCCCGGGATTCTTCCCAGGCTCACAGCTGCGAAGGCCTCCGCTTTCTCGCCTGTAAAAACAAGCCTGTTGCTGTCAAGTTGGAATCAACTCATAGTGGACCCTTCACTGGGTTTCTGAGGCTGGAAATTACATGGGAAGAGACGGCCCATCTTTCTCCCAAGGAGACGCTGGTGGATTAGAACCAACAGAATATGGACTGGGCCACCAGAGCTCTCCTCTTGTCTGTAAGCGAGGCTAACAAATACCAAGCACACAGAGTGGTTTCAGGTGGCCGTGACCACAGCACGGCCTCTCAGCACCAAAGAGAGGGACTCGTGTCAGCAAGGGGCTGTCCCCGTGAGCAACAGCGGTGGTCTGCTTCCCTAGGGAGGAACACTGCACTGGCCACATGGAGGCAAGGGGACTGAGAAAGGCATGTGGACAGGATACCGGACTCTGCTACACTGATGGGCTGCTGGCCGAGGGACTGGACCAGGGATAGGCGGGCATAGTGCTGCCAGTTCAGGGGCAGGTGGGCATGGTGCTGCCGATCCAGGGGCTGGACCAGGGCCAGGCAGGCATGGTACTGCCAGACCAGAGGTAGGTGGGCATTGTGCTGCCGGCCCAGAGGCTGGACCAGGGCAAGGGCAGCATGGTGCTGCCGGCCTGGGGCAGGCAGGCACTGTGTTTCTGGCCCAAGGGGAGGAAGGCATGGTGCTGCCAGCTCAGGGATAGGTGGGCATGTTGATGCTGGCCCAGGAGGAGGAGGGCATGGTGCTGTCAGCTCAGGGACAGGTGGGCATATTGATGCTGGCCCAGGGGGAGGAGGGTATGGTGCTGTCAGCTCAGGGACAGGTGGGCATGTTGATGCTGGCCCAGGGGGAGGAGGG